TCAAATATACTTTATTTAGTAAATACATCATGCACACATATATATTCAAACGTATACGTACAGTTTCAAATAGCATGCTGAGCTAGAATAACAGAGAACAGTATCAGTACTTGCATGTTTTCATAGCTACATGCAAGCATCATGTTGAGTTACTGTCGCATCCCCCGCTGTGCCACCTTGCTGTCTCACACAGCCATGCTCCTGTATAGGACTGACTTTTTCTTACAATGCTTATTTCTGCTTTCCCATTTGATAAAGTAATCTTGTTTCCAAAACAATAATGACAAATGGGATTGGATCCAAAAGCAGAAGGTTGTACTTTGGGATACTTCCAATGCCACATGTGTGTCAGTAGTGGCTACTTGTGTACATGTCCTCCTGTGAAGATAATCCTGTGGAGTAAAATCTGGCTCCATTTTGTCCTGGTAAAACTGCAAGCACTCTATAAGGTTGTTTTTGCTGTCTCTCTAGCTTATGCTTGCTGCCAGGCTTTATTTTTAGTTAAGATATAACTCACACACAATAAAATTTACCCTTTATAATATAAAAACCTGTTTTTTAAACATATATTCACAATATATGGTATACAACCACCATTATCTAGTTACAGAATAATATTTTATGACCCCCCCCAATCTCATTCTCTTTCAGAATCATTCCCCATTCTCCCTTCCCCTAGCTCTTGATGAACACTAACCTACTTTCTTTTATATGGATACCACCATTCCATCTAAGTGGAATAGTAGGAGGTACCATTTTCTGTGTCTGGCTTCTTTCTACTGTTTCAAGCTCCGTCCATACTGTGGCATGTATCCTTTTTTATTACTGGGTAATAAACATTCCTTTGTGTGGACACATCAGGCTGGATATGCACTCATCACTTGATGTACATTTGCCCTATCTCACTTTTTCACTATTGTGGGCATGGCTGCTCTGTCTCTTCATGTATTCGTTCCATGAGGAAAGTGTTTTACAACCAAGGGAATATCAGAAAATATACAAGGAAAGTTGTTCTCTGAGGTATTTTCTGCTGCAGTGATTTCTTGAATGACTGGTTCTCTTGGTGCCAAACATGGAAACGGTGCTCATGGGGCTTTGAAAGAGTGAAGTTTCAGGAGCGGGGCGGTCCTGTGACATCTACCATGCTAGTCTCACCCTAATTTCAACCTCATCTTGCAGAGTGACTCCAGAGAAATGCTATTGCTGGTGCTGAGGAATGAATTGGCCTTGGCTTAGAAGTCTGAGCCTCTTAGCCCCTTGGACGAATTATATACTGACTCTGATCTTCCATTGCCCTCTTTGGGAGTCAGAGATACTAAAAGCTCACAGTTTATATGAGGATGCAGGACACTGCCCACGAGTATCCTATTCCATCAAGGTCTCACTGGGCAGGTCTTAATGTTGTTATTAATTCCTCAGTAAGACATTCAGAAGAAACAGAGCAGGGACAGGATAACAGACAACGCTCTCCGCAGTTTCTCTATTTCAGTAATGTTTAAATCATTTTTCCCATGCGTCGTGTATCAGCCTGTATCAGTGTGCTATGTTGCTGTAACAGCACACCACATACTGGCTGGGGGGCTTAGACAACATTTATTGCCTTTCTTTCTGGAAGAGGTAAGTCCATGATCAGTGCGTGGCAGGGTGAAGTCCTTTCTCCTTGGCTTGCAGATGGCCCGTTTTCATCCAGTCCTCTGTGTATGTCCACATTTTCTCTTTTTACAAGTCCACAGGTTAGAATGAGTTAAGGTCTACCCTAAGGCCTCACTTAAACTTACTCTTTAAGGCATTATCTCTAAGTACATTTACATCTTGAGGTATAAAGGGCCTACGTTTCAACATGTGATTACTGGGGGACACAATAAGAAACATATAAGCAGCAGCCACATTTGCCTTAGACATTGAGGATGGAAGAAACACACTTTGCCCTTACCTAGCTGGAGACGCAGTCTGTCTGGAGAGATGGACAAAGAAGCATGTAATTGTAGTTTGTCTTTTCTCCACTTATCTGGCTTCTGGTCTCATGGTGGGATTTACAGTTTCTGCAAATGTATCATCAAACATGCACCCAACATGTTCTTTTCAGAATCTCAGTTTAGTTGACTGAGAATGTTCTAGATCTTCATCAGCTGACAAGAAAATCTTCCTCAGAGCCTATTTGGAAACTGGGAAGGAGTGAACTAAGAATCTTGAGAAGCAGAGTCAGTCTGAGGCAAAATGAACAAGTAGTTGAGATGGAAGTTTATCTTTAGATGCCTGTTTAGCTTCCTTTTCTGACAAAGTCTTATCACTATCCAAAGAAGCCAGCTCGGGGCTTTGCCACCCTCCTTGCATGTTCAACTGCCCAAGTTCACTGTCCCATCCCTCCCAAATCCCAGGGCTCCCTCTCCTCTGACTTGGCTCTCTGTTTGAAGAGACATGAAGTTAAGGATTTCTGAGAGTCCTGCTGTGTGTTGGGCAGTAGTTATACACTTACGTGTGTCTTCACTTTATTCTCAGAATAACTTCACTTCACCTCACTTCGCAGATGAAGGAATGGAGGTGATAACAGACTCACAGGAACCAGTCAGGAAATAGGATCATTTAAATGCAGTTCCTGAGAAGAATTTGGCTACCTGTGACTTTGCATATTCTCAGGAGAAGGGAGTGGAGGAAGGGGCCACGGGGGCAGATGAGCAAAGGACATGCTCTGTATGGGTTGAGCTTCAGCCAGGCTACCCGGTGAGCTCTGAAGCTCAGTTTGGTCCCTCAAACTGGCTCTAACCTGAGGCAAGAGAAGGATTTTTTTTGTCCATTTCATTTTGTTTCTTTGTTTTTTGTGCTGGGTCAGCAAGTAACTGGCTGTGGGGATGTCTCTTTGCACTTTGGGTCCTGTGGCAAGTTCTTGCAAGAGATACTTTTGCATGGGAGAATGGAAAGCTTTTATAATTCCCAAATTATACCTACAGACAACCCTCTGATAATATGGGGCTAAATTAGCCCAGGGTCGTGCACACCAGTAATCACACGCGACTCACTCAGGAGGCTGAGGCAGGAGGATCTCTGAGTTCAAGGCCAGCCTGACTTACATAAAGAGATCTTATCAAAAAGAAACAAACAAAAAACAAACAAATTACCTAAACAGTTCAAAAATATAACAAGTAAACTCTGTGTCAAGTTCAGGAGCACTAATAGTGTAATAACGTGGCTTTTGTACATTATTCATTTGATCATCAGAATTACTTTATAAACTAGAAGGCAATTTCATTAGCCCCATTTCACAGGGCAGTTGGATGGTTTTATTGTTGAACTTATATGTGATAAAATTGGGTCAAGAACTTGCTTCTTACTTGAAACTAATTCCTCTACAGCGTTTCATATATCATCTGGTTGAGCTTCAGCAAAGGCCATAACACCCCACCTAGAAAGACCAGTTATCATCATTTCCTAGCTTTAAATCTCGAAGCCCCTCTTTCAAAGAGATCTGGGGCTCACTGGTGCAGTGTGTAAGGCTTACAGCCAGACAGTCACAAAAGGGTTCTAATTTTAATTCCTTTTAATGACAGAAGAAAAATATAGCAGAAATCAATGTAAATATTGAAGCCAGTCAATTATATTCATGCTAACATACTAGATGTGTAAGCATATGTGAAAGAAATGCCCAGAAACAACCCAATCCTAGCTCAGCTCTGGGGAGCTGGGTCTGGGGCTGGTTCACTGTCACACCTCAATAGCTTATCGGCAAGGGCGGTCCTGGCTCAGGAAGTCTGAGTATCCATGTGGTGGATGCCTAAAATCATCAGTGTTTCCCCAGATCTCTGATTTCCCCACATCAGGCTTCCCTTCTAATTACACGGCTGTTGCCTGGTTTACTTTGGCTTCTCTAGAGGAGGGGCTGAGGAGCCCACCTTCTCTTTGTACAAATACTTGTGCAACTCATTTTGTTGTCCATAACTCTTGGGTCAGTGTTAGGAGCAAGGTAAACAATAGTGCATACTTATTGAGTGAATAAACAAATTGATGGATAACCTGATGCAAACAACTTCTTATATAATTTTGGGGCCACTAAGCATACTGGGCTTCATTTTCTGCCTTGGTAAATTAATGTATTGGAATAGATGAACTCTCAGGTTCAAGGGGCATTTTGTATTACGCATTCTTTGTACCACACTGTGTGGCTTTGTCAGTCATTGAAAAATGTGTTCTGATTAACACTGAAATAATCACATACAGATTCAGAACATCATTGCCATGCTGTTCTGTCCCCTTCGTTCTTTCAGAGCCTTACTGGAAGGCAGCATGCCCACCAATTTTCCTTTGAGAAAAAATTCTCCCACACAAAATGGTAATGGAAACATTTCTTTCACTTAGAATTAAAACCTTTAAAGCTCAGGGAAAATAACTCACAGACTATAAGTTTTTAAATATAGATATTTAACGTTTGGAGACAATAGTTAATTAGCACTGCTTATGTTAAGCTTAAGAAAAAGTAAGAGTGCTATCATTTTTACTCATATTATTTTAAATTAAAGAAAAATAATTAAAAATCCAGAAAAAAATCCCACTCCTTTTATGAGTGTGACTTTCTATGCTTCCAGCTTTTATGAGATAAATTATTCAATTACTTGTAAGCACATGTGCCAGGACTTGCGATGAATATCTTTAGGATATGAAAGCAGTCCTTTGTGGATTTTGAGGCACTTTGCTTATAGAGTCGAATGGCCAGCCCACTGAACCCTGGCTTGGTCTATTCCAGGCTGGAATATCTACATTCCCCGGAGCAGATGGGGCCTCTTAGCTGCACAGGGAGTTTCAATTGGCACCTGGAAGGTTTTATATGTTATCTTTGATGACGGGGTGTGGGATTTGTTCTTTCTTGCTGGTGCACCCTGGTTTGAAACAGTACTGGGCTTGTCAGCCTAGAAAATTGTGCTGGCCAATCAGATGTGGATCTTGAGATTTTCAGGTTAATGAAAATCCACGCTCACCTTCACTTTGTTGCTCTTATGTTTCTGTGGTAGATATGAAGAGCAACCCTCAAGGAGCTGTGCTGAAGCAACAAGCTTCTCGAGAGCTGAACAAAAGAAGAACTCTCTTACAGGATAACAGCTGGATCAAGAGCCGTCCCGAGGAAGAAAAGTAAGTTCGGAGAGTGGTGGGTGGATAGATGAGAGGAAAGGGCTTGGGAGGCTGGTAGTTTTCTAGCAAGCAAGCTCTTTTCTTCTAAAACATTTTGCTCATCAAGGAAATTTTCATAAGAGTTGGTAAACATAGGTTTTCAAGATCATTTCCACCATTTTTAATGTCCGTAAGGATAAGAGAATATGAGTTTTTACTGACAGAGAGCGTGGGTGTCACCTAGAATAGACGTCTGTGCTTCCTTGGCCAGCTCAAAACAAAATAGACGTTTCCAGTTCTCAAAAAGGCAATAGCCCACAGGAGGTAGATTCCTAATGTGTGTAGGTCATCCCTAATGTGTGTAGTTAATGAAATACACAATAGTGTGATTCAAAGTTCCTAAATTTAATAAATTATTTTAAGTTTCTGAATCCCCACATACAAGCAATATATCCTTGGATTACTTAAGTCCCATCCAGTCACCTACCTTTACATACTGTGAAGGTGGAAAATGTGCCATTTCAAATTCTGCCAGCAAAGTTTTGTCTGCTTCAAGCAGTGCTTCTGTTAGCTCTAAGTTTAAAAATCTGAAAATCATGACCATAAGCTCACAGCCTCATAGTCAACATGTTTCCAACAGATAGATACTTGTTCAGTCTAGAGCTATATTTATTATGTATGAGCTATGTATTATTATGTATATATGGTCTGATTTCCTGCACATTAATATTAATATCAGTAAATTGACATATAAACCACCACTAACAGCTGGGCAGATAGCTCAACAGAATAAAGCACCTGCTTAGGCAGAGTGCAACGGCTAGTTCCTGGCCTGCCCTGCTGTCCCCAGCCCCAGGGCACACTGAGAGGACAACTGAGACTGGGCGTGGTGGCACACACCTGTAATCCTAGTGCTTGGGAGACTGAAAACAGGAGGATCACTATGCGTCTGACGTGTGTAGTGAGACCCTGTAGACCCTGTACCAAAATACATAAAAAAAAAACCACTACTGAATCTCACAGTAAATACCGAAGGTAAGTGTTACACCTTCATCTATAAGAGGAAAGTCTGAGGCACAGAGAAGTTGTGCAATTTGTCCAGTGGCAAATTAGAGTTATTAAACTAACCTTTATGCCAGTGTTCTCCTCTAGGGTCACTTTTACTCCTAGAGGGAATTTGACAATGTTGAAAGATGTTTTTAGATATCAGAACTGGGGAATGCTCCTGGCATTTAGTGAGTACTGGCCACAAATGCTGTTGAACATGTCATGATGCACAGACTAGCCACACAACAATAAACTGTCAAACTCAGAACTGAAGGAATGAAACCCTGCATGTTAGGAGGTGTACTCCAAACTTTCCTAGTATGGCTATCTGAAGGGCATTTTTGCAGCTGTTAAATAAAAAATACGTATTAACTTGTTATTGGTGTCTGTTTCTCTTTTCTCTCTTTCTCTCTTTCTCTTTCTTTCTTTCTTTCTTTCTTTCTTTCTTTCTTTCTTTCTTTCTTTCTTTCTTTATGTACTGGGGCTTGAATTCAGGACCTCGTGCTTGCCAGATGGGCACTGTGCTGCTGAGCTGTATCTATGGCTCAGAATCTTTTAGTACTTTTAGTATTAACTTCTGGAGTTGATGCTCCAGGACAGCCACTACTCCCTCCCATGAAACAGCACTGGGCGCTCTGTCAGAGCATCAGATGAGCATTTCTAATTTTCCATACTGGTGGTGAGATGTCAAGGGTAAGACACAAAATTTGAATTACAAGTATTTACACTGATAGGCAAAGACAGAAGCATGGATGATGAATCACTGTTGGTAGGAATGTAGGCTGCATGTCAGGGAAGCCTCACTACAAAGCCACAAGGAATCCAGTTTCGATGGCAGGAAAGTGGTGAATGAAAGGGAATTTAGCTCTGGCCCTCAGGCCCAGTTCTGCGCTGTATATTATGATATTTTTCAGGCAAGAATGTGCCCATTGCCTGCTGTGCTCTCACAAGTTGCAGGAAGGGAAACCAAGGGAGGGGGACATATTTTCTTGGGGGCTTTTGAGGGTGTGTATTTGCTATAATTGTTTCAGTTGCAGTATGCACTTTCTTTGAATAGTTTACTACAGTTCATTTGCAGCTTTGTTTAAAATGGTTCCAGGTTGTTAAGTATTGTTAGTGGAGCCCAGGGACGAAAAATGTGGTATTTCAGGTTTGGTTGGATCAACTTGAAAAAAAATCAAGTGCTTACTTTCTGCTTTGGCTTCTATCCAAAGGCTTCTAATTGACATCTCCTGAAATTGCCCATACTTCCAAGCTCATCTTGCCAAGGAAATTCATAGCTTTGGGATTTTATGTATAAATGTCTGTTGTAGAGCAAATGTTTGGCATAAAAAGATCTGGATCTTCAACCCACTTCTATCGCTTGCTAATCTGGTGGACTTAAGAAATCCACTAACTCTCTGACTGATTTCTTTTTCCTGAATTGGAGAGGGCAATCGTTCCCGCTTAATTCATATGGTCATCTTAAGGACCAACCACAACAATCTATCTGTTCTCATGGTTCAGAAATGGGCTAACCTGTGAGTGATCTACTTAACCAGGAATACTGTTGCTTTCCTATATTCTGACAAGGAAAATTGTTAAGTCCTTTAATTGTACGAACACAATAGGCTTAATCGAACAATATTTGTAGAAAGTTTTTTACTTGCCTTCCTGAAGAAAAGAACTCTTCAAGGTAGATGGCATCATGTTCCCATACTCAAGCAAAACTAACCAAACAAAGCAAAATAAAACAAGATACTTGTTCATTGTTAAATCATGTGTAAAGCTTATGGGATAAATGATCGCTTGTACTGACAAACTTGTTTATTTCACCATGCTCTTGCAAGTAGCAACAGGTTAAAACACATTCACAGTTGGGTTCTTAAGCCTGAAATAAAATGAACTAACCTTGCCAGAAATTGTGGGCTCTCCCTGTCTTTCTTCTTTAGTGCTGGTGGTGACTTTTTGTGTGATATAATCTTTGTCTTTCTCTGCAGAGATGAAAATTATGGGAAGGCGGCGCTCAACAGGCATAACTCCCATGATGCCTTGCACAGGTAGGCATTGCAGAAAAGTCACACCATTAGCAGAAACACAGAGATGGAGGTTTTGAGGGAAGACTTGCTCAGGCCAGCTGAATATTTGTGTCTAGCCTCAGGCTTTCTGGGCATGTGAAAGAGAAATTTCTCCATCCCTTAGAACTGCAGCTTGGGTGAAAAACGTAGTTAATATTGGCCTACCTCAGTGAGTTATCACCTAGACGGTAGAGAAAGAACTTGTTCATAAAAACATAAGCAGATAAGACATTTCTAAGATGCTGAGAGAGGAATCCTAAGATATAGAATTGACCACTTGAGTTCATTTTTTTTAAGGGATAGGACATTGCTTTTTGGAAACTCCTGAGCTTGTGATAAAATCCTAAGGGGCAAATAGACTAATAAATGCAAATTAGTAGGTAAAATCAAGCAAAACTCATAATTATAATAATGTAAATAATCTCAGATTGATAAAATAAACAGATAATATTCTCATTAGAACACATTTTCTTCACACATGTACAAACAACCTCACCTATCAGTAGAGCTTAAATATTTATTAAGGTCAAGTTTCATCTGGTCCAGTAGGTTGAGTCTGTTTGTCACTGAGGGATACTTAGTAAAGGAGTGTGGATTTTGAAAAGTTAAGTAAAGACCTTGAATATACCTATTATTGAACCTTTATCTATGAATTTCTCTCAAATGTTTAAAATTATTTTATAATTTTGACCTGTTCTAAAGATGCCATGTGGGTCAGCGAGATAGCTCAGTGGACTAAGTACCTCATTAGACAACCACAGGGACTGGGGTTCAATTCCTGGCACCACATGCCATGCCAGCTATACCCCCTGGGTGCACTGAGCTGGCCACTGAGTCTGGGGGTGGTGGCACATTTTTATAATCCCAGCACTGGAGAGGCTGAAAACAGGAGGATCACTATGAGTCTGAGCTGTGTAGTGAGACCCTGTACCAAATACTTAAAATAATAAATAAATAAAAATAAAGATGCCATGCTTAAAATCCTCTTCACAAAGCAGCCATTTTGTTTTCCCATTGCCGATTTTAGTTCGTCCAATTTGGTGTTCTGTGACCTGGCAGACTGTACTGTGACATCTTAGTTTTCATTATTTTGAACATCATAGCCTATTCTCTGTTGTCCTTCATCTACCCAACAAAAAGAGGATGATTAGTTGAGTGTAATCACCGAAGGAAACTGTGCCTTCCATGTTATCTCCCTTTCCCTAGAATTTTTCAAGAACATAGACACTTGTTTTGAGGTGTGACAGTGAAAATTACCCTTCTTATTAGTATACATCAGATTTCAGATAACAGCATCTTAATGCCTTCTATATTTATTTTGCATTTTATATTTATTTATTTATTTTTTGCGGAACTGGGGATTGAACTCAGACCCTTGCACTTACCAGGGAAGCGCTTGTCCTACTGGGCCATCTCCCCGGCCCTATTTTACATCTTAAATTGTTCTAACTGCGTGACATTGTTATCCAGAATTGGCGTCCAGCATTTTTGCTAAAGCAGTGTATCAGGGTTTTATCTTCTGTAACAAAAATCTGTAAGCCCCAAGCACTTCTGCGACCTAAAACTAACATCAGAGATAATCTGCCCAGAAGGAGCAGGACCCTCAGAAGATGCTATCATTTTAGACCCATTTGGCTGGCTTTGTTCTTCCTAGCACTTAATGCAAGACGCGCTATACTGTGTTAATTTATTCTCATTTTCTCCCCTCTCCCACCTTCAGCTAGAGCACAAACTCTGTGGAAGAAAGGACTTTCGGTTTTTATTCCAAGTCCTCATCTCAGTGTCTCCCTTCCAGCCGGTGTTTCATGGGCACTACTTGTGCTATACACCTTACCTGATGTAGTTAAATGATCTGTCTCAGTTTGTGCACAATAGGAAGCTGTTACCTAAGATGATGGGACCATGTTATTTCAGCCCCTGCTTGGGCCAGCTCTTTGCTCATGTTGTCACCCCTGCCGGGAGTGCTGCTTCCCCTACCCCTTGTCCTCCAGCCAGCCTTGCCTGCTTGGGAAACCTTTCCTTGTCATCCTTCAAGCCTCTGAGTTCATGCTAGAGACCATTTGTTTGGGGGAAATCTCGAACTATTTGGGCCAAGTCAGTCTTTCCCTCTCCTCTGTTTTTATTGCCCTCTAACACCCCCTTAAAATATACTTTTCATGATAAAAGTTTATGATTTTTGGCTCATGAATCATCTGCTATGAATGTAAGAACTCCTAAATGTACCAGGTTGTGGGGTTCCCAGTAAATATCTGGTGATCCACAGTGGCTGTTGGAGGAACAAAAAGAAAATATAGCTGCGGCACACAGGCACAAAAATGACAAGTGGCATCTTTATCAAATATAGGGAGAAGCTACCCTGCTCTTTGTGGGCAGGCCACCTTTGATGCTATTTATAGGTCACAGAAGTGCTTGGGGCTTACAGATTTCTGAGGGCTGTCAGATGACCCTGTAATGTTTATTTGTAGTCATACAAGACCCAAGGAAGAGAATCACACCATGATTTTACTTTAAACTTTCTGGAAAAACTTTGTGAACTTTTCTCTTGCCTTTAATACTGTTCTCTGTATCTGAAAATGTTCATCTTTTATCCTTAAAAATCCAGGTCAAACTGCATCTCATCCATAAATTATTCTCTGATTCTTATATTTGAAAATCAGCTTTCTTGACACAACTTTCTTCGCCTGAGCCTCTTTAGTGTGCACATCTGGTTTGTCCCTCTAATCCTGTGTGGGTAACGTCTATAGTTCTTACATTCTGTAATTTCAGGCATCAGAAAAATGCTTTTCAGATTGCCTACCTTTAAAATTTTGTGTAATGAAAACATACAACATCACCTAAAATTAAATCTCAAACATTCAGTCCTACTAACTTCTCTGATTCAGCACTTTTGGCGTATCACCTCCAAATGATGGTTTAAGTGCAAACAAAATAAATCGTGCACAATTTCTCAAAGAGCTTGCTTGCCCTGTACTGCAGGGCTGTAAGAGACAGTACATAGGCTCTTTTTTTGTCTGATCTGTTGGTGAAGATTTGCTGCTGCCATAGCCATAATTCCTATTTCAGAGCCTCCTATTAGCTGCCTCTTTTCTCCTCTCTCTCCATTATTTGTCTTTCCTCTTACTGCCTCATGACCTGAATTCTCCTTCCCTACCCATCCTTTCTCTCACCTCTCACTTTCATGTTTTCTTACTTCTTTGTGATTCTTTTTTCCCCTTTCTTTCCCATCCCTCCTCCTGCCAGTGAGCTGTACTCTTTTAACCCTGTCCACGGTGCTGAATGCTAAATAGAGCAGTTCAGGATTAAGTTCATTGGGTAGATTTATGACATTGCTAAAACTCTGCAAAAAGCACATAAAATAAAATCTCTGCAAGCAAAAGATAGCTGATTGAATTCTTATTATGCAAAAATATACAACATTGATAAGAGTATTGTTAGATGTTAATCATTTTGCATGTTCTGTTGCTTGTTTTTTGTTGTTTTTTTTTTT